TTTATCTCAAACTTAAAAAAACTTTGCCAGCAGTGCTCTTGAGTATAAAAGGTGGCTTAACAGTACTGTTTCCGCTCCCAAGGCTGGACAAAGGAAAAGGGAGTCTTCAGCAAGGTTATCACCCTACTGATGGACTATAAAGATTTGGCTCATAGAGACAGGGTTATGCCTCGGAACAGGGCGGGAGATCAGGTTGTTAAGGATCTTTTAAAAACATAAAAATATGCAGGGCGTTTTATTATAAATAAAGATTATGGACTATGCTAGACTTGCGTGAATCGCCATGTATATTTAAATATAATTTTAAAATCGCACATTGGAATTAAAATGATAACGGGTCGCAGCGTTTTTTCATAATTTTTCAAAATACGGACTCAAAGAATATAATTAAATTGCTCCTACTTGTTCAAATATTCGAAAAAACAATTTAAAACAGGTACATAGATATTAGATGTTTACGTGTTTAGCGCGACTATTTTTACGCTACGATAGTATGAACATAAGGAAGTTATACATATTTTTTTATTCTTCTTTTATTCTCAAGAAACCAAAAAAAATACTCAACCCTCTCAGATAAAAATAGCTACCTGGAATATAAGAAGTATGTATCAGCCTGGAAAACTACATAATGCTATTAAAGAGAAAGAGTAGCGAAATATAGATAAACTTGGGGTTAGCGATGTACAATGGTAAGAAAATGGAGAGATATCAATAAACAACCACAATATTTATTACACTGGAGAAGACAAAACTGATCATCGAGCAACAATATTAGAAAATCAGTGCTAGGTGTGATTCAAATCTGAGAAAGAATAATATTGCATAAAATTCAAACACGTAACTGTAATATTAATATGATCCAAATCTATGCTCCCACAGCTGATAAGACCGAAGATGAGATCGAAAAGTTTTATTTATAATTGCAAAATACAATTAAGTTAACAAAATCTAGAGATATTACTTACATTTCAGGAGACTTTAATGCAACAATTGGAGTAGGTACAGGTGACAATATAGTTGGACAGTTCGAATTAGGAACTAGAAACGAAAGAGGAGAAAGGTAATTGATCTCAGCTTCCTAAGAGAAGACTATATACATAGACGTCTCTTTCACATACAGAAAACCACATTGTCAGAAACCAGATAGACTTTATACTCGTAAATAGCAGATATAAAAACTCTATAACCTCAGTTAAAACTTATCCTGGAGCAGATGTTAACTCAGACCGCAATCCATTAGTTGCTAACGTGAAAATTAAATTAAAGAGAATTGAACTTAGAAAACAACAACCAAAAATTAAAGTAAGAATGCTAAAAAATGAAGGAATAAAAAAATAGTTAAAAAATAACATAAATGTTAATATGCAAAAGACACTAACTGACAACAATTGGACAAAATTATGGATGTAGATAAAAAGTGGTAAAATATAAAAAACTCATTACTGAAACCAGCTCAAAAAAGTTTGATACAACATAGGTCAGAAGCTAAAATACAGTAAATGACAGAAGAAATAATATTACAGATGGAAGAAAGAAGAAAATATAAAGGAAAAGATCTACAAAAGTATAAAGAAATACAACGAATAGTTAAGGAAAAAATCAAAACAGCTAAGGAAGTCTATCAGATAAAACAAGGTAAAGAGATATAAAAACTGGAAACAAAATATGAAATGAGAAATATGCACAAAAAAATAAGCGACGTGACTGGAATGGAACACTCAGAAGAAATGAAGATCTGTAAAGGAGTTAGAACAGATATGTGTTTTATCGCCGCTTTTGTTTAAGTTATATATTCTGAAGAAATTTTCTTAAACACTCTTAATAATATCAAAGCGGGAGATACCGTTAACGGAAAATTAATTAACAACTTAAGATATGCAGACGACACTGTGATCATAGCAGCGAGTATTGAAGATCTACAACATATAATCGAAATCTTAAGTATGAATAGTGCTAAGATGGGAATTACTATAAACGCTAAAGAAAACGAAGTACATGCTAATTACAAAAGACCACAAAATATACATTACTTATTGGCAATCAAAGGTAACGTGATAAAAACAGTAGAAAAATATCAATACTTAGGAACTTTGATCTATGAAACCAAAGATCATACTGCAGAAATAAACAGGCGAATAGAGATTGATAAAATGCGTTAGGCTTTCACGGCCATCGTCTAACTTGTTAGGCTGTTTGTTCGGGCTGTTAGGCCGTTGTCTTCTGAGAGATTGCCAGATCAGCATTTATACGAATGAAGCCACTCCTAACGTGCAAAAATCAAAATTTGGAGATCAGACTACGTACCATTCGCTGTTATATATATGGAAACCATCCAACATCTTACCGGGGACTGTCAGGTATTTGCTGCAACAGAATATAAGAAACAGCACGACGCAGTAGAAAAGATCCTGCATCAAGAGATAGCCATCAAACTGGGACTTCTTCAAACAAACCATCTTCCATATTATCAATACGTTCCCGAGAGTATACTTGAGAATGACAAATACAAGCAATACTGGGACCGCACTGTGCTAACAGACCAAACAGTTGCACATAATAGACTAGATCTCGCACTAGTTAATAAACTAAAGAGACAAACAACATTAATTGATATGACGATACCCAACAACAATAATCTTCGTGGTAAAGAGAACGAAAAAATCGCCAAGTACAGGGATCTGAAAATTCAAATACGAAGACAGTGGATAATGGAAAGTACCTAGACAATACCTATTATTCTCTCTATTGCTGAAGTCATTCCAAAGAACCTCCTAGAAAACATAAAAAGGCTAGGTCTGAATGAACATCTCTACAAGACCATGCAGAAAGCTGTACTAATCTCAACGTCGAGATGTGTGCGAAAATTTTTGGGAGATACTCCAACATACCAAGTCATCAAGGGCTCAATAACACGGAAAGAGTCCCACCAGAGCTCAATCCTTGTGATACCGTAGGTATCTGGGATGTCTGTATTTTCTCCTTAGAGGGAGTGTGAGTCGTATGATTAAAACTGGATAATAATAATACTTATGTTACTCGTGTTATTCCCAAAAATCATCAAACGAACATAAAACAGCCGGGTCTAAATAAACATCTTTATAAGGCCATACATAAAGCTGTGCTCCTCGCGACGTCCAGATGTGTACGAAATTTTTTGGGAGATACTACAGCATACCAAGTCACCTAGGGCTCGATAACACGGAAAGAGTCCCACCAGAGTTCAATCCTTTTGATACCGTAGGTATCTGGGATGAGTGAATTTTCTCCTCAGAGGGAGTGTGAGCCGTATGGCTAAATCTGGATAATACTCAAAAGCAAACTTAATTCCAAGCACATAGTAAAAGCAATAAATACATACGCAATACCACCTTTCACGTAGTTCTCATTTGGTGTTATAAAATTGTCGAATACCGAAACTGAAGAACTAAATAGACCAAATAGAACCGTGTTAGAGCTAATGGATTTTAACAAGAGCTCTGGGTTATGCCGATTCAGTACACAAGTTTACCTGATATTCACAAGGTCATAGCTCTTGTCAAAATCCATTACCTTTAACTAATCCTTAAACAAATCATACATCCGATGTAGGACTACCACGCACACAAGGCGGGAGAAGAACGGGGTATTTTGGAAATATTACTCAGTACGTAAAAATAAAAAAAAAGCAAAAAAAAACAAAGACAAAAATATATAGAGCAGCAATTAGACCGATGATGGCATACGGAGCGGAAGTAATGTGTCTTACGAAAAAAGTAAGAATTATTAAAAGAAAAAAATATAGGAATAAACAGACCAATAAAGCCAGAACAAGGAGAATATAAAAGACTAATGAAACATGAAATGAAAATAATAAATTTAACCGAAGAGAAAGACATAGTAAAATTTATTAATCCGTAAAGGCTCAGATAGTAATAGATAATAAATAAACAGATCAGATGGAAAACATGTGGGCAAGTTTTAAATAACATTTTTCTTGTTTCCCACTAAAATATAACATAATACCAGATCATTTAATTTTTAACTATCAACAAAAATGTAATATAGTAGGATGTACTAATTTAATAGTAATACGATATTTTCAAATATAGCCGCAAGTACTTACCTAATTTCTTTGTCGATAAAATTATTTAGATAGTGAATGTTTATTGGGTATATTCGTGTATTATATTCCGATTGACACAGTAGAGCAGTAAAGTATTATACATAAAGACGTTGTTAAAGATATCTTTGCTTACTTGGTCTACTATAGCGTAGTTGATAAAATTACTGTTTACACAACTTGGCAACTCAGCCAATGGATAAAATGGTAGAAAACTGCAATTTATGTTAGGGTTTGTATGTATAGGGTAAATCTTACAGAGTCAATATGTAGAAATCTACAATTAAGTTAAAAAAATTTACCACAGTAGCATGCCGCAATACAACCATCTTTAGGATTAGAAACAAATTAATCGAGGGTGAAGATCAACCTTAAAAAAATGAAATTTAAAAAGAATCGAGGTTTTCGATCTCTGATTGTACCGCCGAGTATTAAAAATATTATGGACTGATATAATTACAAATAAAGAAGTACTGGAGAGGGTTGGTAAAGAAAAAGAACTAATCATCACTATACAAACCAGAACACTAGAATACCTAGGCCACGTGATGAGGGGATCAAAATATGAAATTTTGAGACTTTAAAATAAAAATAGCCATTATGATTGTCAACCTCCGTAGGGAGACGGCACTCTAAGAAGAAGAAGAATAAAAATCAATATTAACCAACTGCTCCCCTTATTCCTTCTAGAAAAAAAATTTATTGGATTGAAAAAAATTAAAGTTACTAAGCCATGATAGTAACAAAAGCGGGTGATGATTTCTTAAAAACCATTATACTTATGACAAATATATTTTACGTTACCGAATATAATATAAGGTATAAATATTATACCTTATTATTTTTTATTTATTTTATAAATAACCACTATTTATAAGAATAAAATTTAACAATGTTATATTTACCAGTTTGTCAGCATAATTTGTGAACTACCTTCACTAAATGTTGCAGCAGCGTAGACAAGAATCAATAAAATAAGGAAGAAATATCCACCACCATATTTGACATACTTGGAGTAAATTTCACGTGCCACAGTGCCAGATTTTTTATTTTCGTGGTAAATTTGTTTGTCTGTAAGAGTATCTGGAAGTAATTTTGAAGTTTCAGTAGCTTCCTCCTCTTTTGATTGATCTTCAGTCGTCGGTTCTTTTTGTTTTTCCGTTATTTCTTCTTCTATAGCTGCCAGGAGCTTGTCAGAGACTTCCTGTTTTTTTCCAGCATATTTAATCCCTCCCTCTTCTAGAATAATAACTATATCTGCTTCTGAAATATGTTTAGGATTATGTGTAACAAGCATAACTAATTTATTCTTAAGAAAACCTTGGATACATTCTCTAAAAATATGATTTTGAACTTTTGGGTCCAGAGCGGTCAGTGAATCATCTATTAGATAAATATCGCTCTCTTTGTAGATAGCTCTAGCTAAGTTTATTCGAGCTTGCTGTCCTTTACTTAGATTCATTCCTCTGTCGGCTACTACTGTATCGTCACTATTTTCTAGGATACTCAAGTCATAGCTTAGAGCGCATATTTCAATAACCTAAAAAATAAACTATTATTGCTAAAATCTATTACGGTTTTTTTTAAATTTTTTTTTAATATTTCAGAATACTTGAACATTATTATTGATTGCTATAGTTGAAAAATTGAATATTATAAATTCTGCAATGGTAACAACAAAGTTTTAAAACCGAAAGGAGACCGAATAAAGAAAAATAATTGGATATAATATGCAAAATTAGACCTTATTTAAAATAGAAACAAGTGGCGAACTAAAACGGGACTCAATATAAAGAAATATATTGACAAATAAGAAAAAGAGCTAAAAGAGCAAAAGACTCCTTGCTTAAAAAAAGATGTGAAATAAAAATACTGCAGAAAAAATGAAGAGTGTACTATACACAAAAAACGCTAATTAGGGAATAAACTATTAAAAATATTAGATATACGGATGACATAGCGACCATGACTGAAAGTATCAAACCTCTTTAATTCTTTATAAATTGAGGTCTTCTGAGTATGCTGAGAGAATACTCTTTAGAACGGCATACATACAGTAAAAACCAAGCTATTTGTGGTTAGTAAACAATTAATGGTCATTAATAAGCCCATTACAAAATTAAATCACATTTAATACTTTGAATGTTGGATAAGTAACACTCTTAATCCTGACAAAGAAATTAAAACTTATATACAAATAACAAGCGGAGCATTTATGAAATTTAGACTTACACTCTATAATTCTCAGCTGCACATAATAATTAAGTTCGTGTATGTAAAACCTGAATTATGAAAGTTTATGTTATAAAAACCTTACGCCTTATAGATGTGGCCTTATGGTAAAACACTCAAAATATCATGGGTTTAATTAAATAAAGACAACATGAATGCATAGGACATATAACGAAATGTAGGAGATATTGAATACTGCAGTTAATAGGTTCTCAACGAAAAGATAGAGGGAAAGAAAGGAAAAGTTAAACCGGTTTGGCATCTCAAAACATCGACTCTCAAAAAGTGACTTTTGTTTTTGTTCTTAAAATCTACTTGTAGTTCGTAATCAGCACATCCGTCAGTCATGTTGTGCTAAACTTTTTCAGATTCAATTTCACGTATCGTTATACGATGAACTTGAAAAAAATATGCACTTTGTTGATGGTTTCAAGTATAGTGGCAGTGTGTGGAAGTGATTGACGCGAATCATATTAAATAATTTTACGACCACTTTTAAACTCGGATAAGTTGTCATTTTTAATCTCTTTCAACTGTATAAACCATTGTGTACAATTAACTGCTGCCTAAAATCACTTTACTTAATTTTACAGGTAGTTTAAATACGCATACCAACCTACTGACGAAAAAAATCGTCAGTAGTCTTGCTATCTCTGGGCGAAACCAAAAATTTATCAGTCCTTCCTAGTACACAAACTAGCAAAAAACCATAATAAGTTCTTTTGAAGTGTTTTACCTTAAAAAAATAACAGTTGTTAAGAAAATGATCTTAAACAATTTCTAGAGTAGCAATCAATAAAAGGAGTCACTAAATGAATATAAAAAATCTTACATTAAAAACCTTGTAAATAAATATAAAGAACGAAAAAGAAGAAAATAAAGAATCGAAAATAAGTATAGCAATGATAAAAACAAATATTTATTGTAAATACCTAGCTAAATCGATCATATTATACTTAATTACAAAAGAAAAGAAACAAAATCACAAAAGAGTAAATGAAATATCAGTGGGGCAAAGAGGTATACAGCTTTAATTTAAGTATATATAAACACTAATTTATCAATTTAATCTTAAAGACAACCTTAATATACCAAATTTAGTCCTTGTGAACTTACTTTTTTATATCGTTCATAATTATAGTGCTCTCCAAATAAAATGTTTTGTTTAATTGTACCAGGAAACAGCCATGGATCTTGAGAAGCATAACTCATCAATCCTCTTGTTCTTATTTCTCCAGAATCAGCTGGATAATCTCTTAATATCATTTTAATTAAAGAGCTTTTACCAGATCCAAGCTGACCAGTAACGACGTTTAAACCAGCATCGATCTTTAAGCTTATATTTTTCAGGATGTCCTTATATTTCATACTAAGAGTGGCTTCTCTGATATCTATTTGGGGTTGATCATCTGGTTTGTCTATATGATCAGGAAGTTCTTCTAGCTGTAATATATTGTTGATTCTTTCAATAGAAGCAAAAAGTTCTGCTACAACAGTAAAGCCAAATGTAAACATTATAGACACAGAGTGTCGTAATGTCGCATAAGATCTCATGATGTAAAATATTGTTTCTGGATTAAGTGTTGTATTTAAATAAATATATAACATTACTAAAGCATAGAATCCCAATTTTCCCATAAAGTCACTGCATACCATTAGACACAACCTGGTAAGAGCTTTTTTCAGTAATGTTTTAACTTCTTTGCTAGAAAGTAATAAATAAAATAAATCATGCAGATAACATAAGTTCTATACATAAAAGCTAATATATGAATAAACCAAAAAACAAATAATGGATAAAATACTTAATTTAGAGTAACTAGAGATTGAATGAGGAGATATAAAACAAATATTTTCAAAACAGTAGTAATTGGTGTTTCGCAATAGATTATGACTAGTTTGTTAAAATCACAAATAGTAATATCCGAAAATTTACAAATTACCAGATCGAATAGCTGAAAGCAGCATAAAGTAAGATTGAATACACGACACATACTTTTCACTTTGTATCTTTAAATTTGTTAAAAAAACTTAACCTTTAATTTTATAGTCCAGTCGTTAGAGATTTGACCTCAAAAAATCAAAAGAAAAAGCCGAATATTGGTGAGAATCTCAATTGTAGGATCGCATAAAAGATACACAAAGTTTACCACTCATACTCCTGGGTTTACACCTTAAACGCCCCTCGTGGGGGGAGGTCTGTATGGTACAACTTTAACAAAATTTGTATCAACTCGGTGGTAAAAATTCGATATCCTTTGATCAGATTGTCCTACGGACAAAAATGAAAATGGATTTTAAAGGCAAATAACGTAGATACAATTTTGCGTTTTACTGTAAATTAAGTCAGTTTCTATAAAGCAGGTAAATACAGAAACGTTTCGCGATTTTATCGCGTTTTTGCGAACATTGAGTTTCACATTACTACGAACTCACTCCACGGGAAATGCTCCCACGAAAATAGCATTGGATGAAATTTGTACCTGAAGTTGTGTAGTTTTAAAACCGTACTTGTAAAATCTAAAAGAAGAAGTTCTAAATATTTTAGATCGTTTGTAATGTGAAAGTTTAAATCCAGATTTTTTATGCATATTTTAAATGCATCAAATTTGTTGCCAAAACTAAAAATTGAAATTTCATGCCATGCTTTGAAAACCAATTTTCTAGTAATGAAAATTTCATAGTGATCGGTTACTAAAAGTAATAAATATTGATCTATAAGAATCAAAAATAGAATGGCACAAAGCCGCGTAAAGATTATTTATTTAACAACTTTATAGAAACTGACTTCATTTGAAAAAAATGCAAAAATTGTGTACGAAAGCTGTACTCTTTTCCGTTTTGATTTTAGTCGGTATTTATTTTGTCAAAAAATAAAAAAACCTTTATTAATTAACAAATTTTAATAAATTGTACGTAAAACCTTTAATTTATTCGATCATTACAATTTGTACATCCAGTATTATTCTGAAGCTAGTTTCTTGTGGTATTTTAAAGTAATTACTATTTAAGTGTGAATAAACCACAATATTAAGAGTTAAAGTAAGTTTATTGACGTTTCAATTTACACTTCGGAAATCGTTCTTAAAATACAAACATTAGCAAATTAAACAAATTTAGTTTTTTTGTTACTGGGTTTAAAATTTTTCTAATAATTTACTTTTATCTGACTTTATTGACCTTTTCTGATTATATTGACCATTCAGATATACATTATAAATTTTAAAGCAGAGGACCTTAAAATGATATTGCCAATTTTGTTGAGTTGTATTCCTGGGGCGACTGTATTTGTAAGATTGTTCATTCGATTACATAAAATCAATTTAAACTTGAGAATATCCGTCAGAAAAAAATCATAGCACGTAATCTTTAAAAAGACAAACACATGCCATGATGACAGTAAAAATCTCCTGTTAGTGATTCCATAGTAAATTATGAATTAAAAACCAGGAAAAAAACCTTATAAGACTATCCCGACATGGTAAGTTTTTGGTCATGCATTTAGTTTACTTTAAAAACACCAAATTCTGATTTTATATGTTTGTTAATTAACAAACATAAATGATGTATCCTCTATATGTAACTGACTTACTAATACTCATATTTTTTCCTTTTAATACCTTCCCCTTTTAATATGTGTAACTAGATCCTACTACATTCTGCCGAAGAATTTCCGATACAATTGGTTTTATTTGAGGAATGCACCTCAACAATATTGACAATATCATTTTAAAGTCGTCTACTTTAAAATATATAATGTATATCTAAATTGTCAATATAAATGAGTCAGATAAAATTAAATTATTAGAATTTTTCACCAAGTAATAACACAATTTGTTTAATTTACTAATGTTTATATTTTGAGAACGATTTTCGAAGTGGAAATTGAAATATCAATAAACTTACTTTAACC